TGCCAAGCCAATAAATGTGCCTTGTCCAAGATGCGGTGCAGGTGAGGGCAGAGTCAGGCCTCTGGGGGCTGAGGTGGATGGTGAAGTGACAGGGCTGATGGAGCCCCTGGAGGCTGCCCTGTCACCTGGCCAAGCCTCAGTGCAAATGAGCAGCAGCTCCCTGGCTGCCCGGGCTCAGGAGAGGCGGCCACACAGTACCTGGGGGCCTTCTGCTGCCCTCACACCCCACTGCTTGTCCCCAAAGCCCCCAGATCAGGTACTGTCACCTGAGGCTCTACCACTGTCACCTGGGGTGCACTGAGTCATAACTCTATCCACCATTCTTCAGGCTGTAGCTGCCCTGATGGTGGTGAGGGGAAGGGTCTGACTCCCTAGGTCGTCACCAGGGTCCCAGAGCCAGGGACATGCAGCAGCACAGCTTGTCCTCAGGAGGTCACATCACGCGCACCAGGGCAGGATGGCCCCCTCCCACTCTAGGTGTCCCCAAATGCACATGCTATGGATCCAGTCCAGAACCAGAGGGCACTCTCTTATGGCATTCTCTGCAGATGAACCCTTTCAGGTGAGATCATCCTGTGGGCCCCCATCCAAGGCTGCTGTCCCCATAAAAGGAGGAATTTGGAGATGGCAGGGGCCGTGTGAAGATGAAGGCAGAGATTTACAAGCCCAGGACGCTAGCAAACCACAGAAGCAGGGCGAGGTCCAGAGCGGTCCTCTCCCACGGTCTCAAAGGACAGCCCGCCAGCACCTTGCCTCAGACTCCTGGCCCAGAACACGAGACAATAAATACCTGCCTTGCCAGTCTGCAGCACCTGCTCTGGCACTTGGTATCACTCTCATCTGCCACCCAGCTCCTACCCAGAGCCAGAGCTACCACAGCTGGAGATATAAGCCCGGTGCCTGCCCAGGGTGCTGGGGACACTGAGGGTCCAATAGGATGGAGCCCGGTGCCTGCCGTTAGGGGCCCAGGAGGCCCCATCTGGGGGGAAGGGTGTGTGTACCAGCACAAGTGCGAGGCTGGCCACAGACTCCCAGCAGTGCCGATGGGAGCTGCCTGGCACTGCTGGGCATGGAGAGCTGCTTAAGAGGCTGAAGGCCTCAACACCCCCATCATGGGCTCCAAGCTGTTTAGGCCTGCCCAGGCCTGTTCCAAGACAGAGATGCCAAGACAGCTGCCTGCAGGAACAAGGCAGGTGCGGGGCTCTGGGCAGGTGGCCCCTCATGGAACTGGGGCAGCAGCCCACACGCCCATGGTCTGTGTTGGCGACTGGGCGGAGGCCTCGCTTGCAGGAGCACCAGACTCCAGCCCTGAGTCTTGACCTGAATTCAGGTTGAGCCTGGCGAGAGGAAAGGGGTCCCTTCCAGGCATGGAAAACAGCGGGCCCTGGCCTCCAGCCCCCTCCCCATGTGGTGCACACCTATGGGTTACTTCTGTGCCATTGGTATGCGGCACAGGCACAGGGTGCCACCCATTCCCTGACACCTTCTCCTGGCTTGGGAGCTGAGCCCTGCTGCCCAGCCACCAGGCAAGGGTGCCCCACCCCCCTCCAAGGAGGCTAGGCATCAGCACCAGCACGGAACACTGCTTTTCAACAGGCTGACCAGTCCTGTTTATGTGCTTGGCCATCCCCCGGGGCAGCGTGGCCCTGAAGCCAGGTTTGAGTTCCCAGCTGAAGGCAGGCTGGGGCTTCATGGTGGCCAGCAGGGCCATGGCACACCCTGGGGCCACTGCTTCCTGCCTGCCCTGGAGGCTGGGAAGAGCCCTGAGGTGGTGCAGCCCGGCAGAGGCAAGGAAGGAGGGCCAGCTAAAGACATTCTCAGTCCTAAGGGACTGGGCTCAGGGCACAGGGGCTGGATGTGAACAAAAATCCCATAAAATCCCAGCTCAGACCTCACGCTGGGAAGAAAGCACCAGTCCCAGGAAGGGGCAGCCTGAGCTGGCCTTGCTGAGCTGCTGCAAATGCCACAGGTTGGAGTGCCACAAGATGGGGCCCTAAGAAAATGACGTGGCTTGCCAGGGCCTCAATTTCCTTATCTGCCCAGTGGATTCACACAGCCCCTCTCAGGTCACTGCTCCAGATGGCGACAGGAGTGTGGGGCTTGTGCCCTGTGCTCTCTTTTTCTGGACACTACTGCCCAAGAGGTACGTGTGCATCATGGTGGATACCCCGGGCAAGGGGCCAGGGCCTGAGGCCACCCACATATTTCCAGCAGCCTCCGGGGCCATGATCATTCCCATCCTCATGCGCAGGTAAGCAAAAGCTCCTCCCTTGCTGCAGCATGTTGGGTCCAGCAGCAGCGACCTGGGCGATGGCAGGCCCTGGCTGTTGCATCACTCAAGTGGCCCTGCTGGATCGCAGTTCCCTGGGGCACCCAAAGCCCAGTCTGGTGATGGGGATGATGAAACCTCAGGATTTCACTGCCTGCCAGAGGCTGAGGACCACGTTGGGGACCTGCACTGGGCCACGTGGGGGGCTCTACCTTCCGTAGAGGACAGACACATGGCCCCTCAGGTCTGGCCCCAAATGGGCTTGTACTTGCCCTCAACTATAGTCAGGACACAGTGGTTTGGGGCCAGCCTTTCTAGGATGTGGGCTGGGCACACCACCCTCCAGAGACTTTGCTCTAGGTCTGTTTCCTGCTAAGGGCACCACTGTAGGACCCGTGGCACCCACCCTACCTAGCAGGCAGGGGACCCAGGGGTTGGGAGTGGGGAAGATCTTTTTTTTTGGGGGGGGAAGCTCTAACTGGGGGCACAGTTCCAAGCCCCTGACCTTTGACTCCCTACTTCCCAAGCTCCTGCTCCTCTGCACCAGGCCAGAAGGCTCCAAGGACAGGGTTCTATGGATTTCAAGATCCCACCTCTTGCTCCCTACCCCTGCATGATGGTCATGAGGTGGCCAAGCATGGGTCCGCCGAACCCTTTGGGCCAATAGCCAGGCCAAGCTCTTTGGTGACAACAGAGAACCAGGTAGCAGTGGTCCCTGCCCCAGGTCCAGAGGGTACATGGCAGTTGCACCAAGGGCTGGGGGCCAGGCAGGTGCTCAGAGCATCCCTGTGGCAGAGGCAGCAGCCCGGAGCGGGTGGACTGTAATTTAGCAGGCGGCTCTCTGCGCAGTGCCCCAGAGACACTGACAGCCTGCTGCAGATGCTGTGGCCCAACCTCTGCCCGTGCAGCCTGCTTTCTCATCTGTAAAATGGGGCAACTGTCATCACCACTGCCTGGCCCAGCCCTCCACACACCACAGCAAAAACTGGACAAAGCTGCTGACCCCGCAGGCAGAAATGCAAAGGCCATCTGTGCCCAGGGCCTCCCCCTGCCCTCCCAATTTGGAGGAAGCACTGGTCATCCACCCTACCTGGCCAGCCAGCACCCACCCCAGGAGAGCCCCCTTAGGAGTCTGGACCCCACAGGAGCTTGCAGGAGAGAGGTCTGTGGCAGTGGCTCCCGAGGACCATGCCTCTAGGGGCCACCAGAGGGCGCCCAGTCCTCAGAGGCCAGGCCTGGAGGCCCAAAACAAGAGAGGATGCCAGACTTGGTTGCCCCCCAAGGCCACTGCCCCCATGTGACAGCACCTCATTTACCTGGGCCTCAGCGGTACCCACACTCTCACCAGTGACCTGAGCCCCGTAGGCTGTTCTCCCATTCTAGGGGTCTGGGGTGCAGTTGGAGGGTATCTGGGAGAGTGGACTCCCTGATGGGGACACTGGGGAGGAGGAGGGAGCCCTGGCCACAGCATTCCTCAGCCTCACATGCCCCAAGAAGGGTGACACTTGACCATGGCTGGCAGGACACTCAGCAGGGCCATGTGCACCCAGCTGATAGCCAGCACCTCTGCCCACCACTGAGACACCAAGGCAACACGTGTGTCTGGGTCCCCCGACCCCACCCCTACTCCAAGGCTGGCCAGACTCCAGCCCATGGCCAGGTCCTGCCTTGACCTACACCTGCCGAGTTATGCCCTTGCTGCTGCCCACTCTAACTGGGAGGTTAGGCTGCAGGTGTTAGCTCAGGAGGGTCCCTGAGAAGCCACACTTGGGGTCCTGTGGGCTGGTGGGGGTCAGCGGCCCAGCCACCCCAACCCTCAGAAGGCCAGGAGCCTGGGCACCAGGTCATGTGTGTGTGGCAGGGGACAGCAGAAGCACAGACAACACACCGTGCACACTGTCAGGGATAGAGTCTCGGCCCTGTTGCCCGCAGGAGGGGGGCTGTCCAGAGACCCTGGGGGGTAGACCTGAGCCTGGCCACCCGGCTGCCCTTCACAGAGATGCCCAGCGTCACTCCGGGGTCGCAGGCCACCAAGCAAGTCCGCCCCTGCACTGCATGTCCCTTCCTGCAGAGAGGCTCCACAGTGGAACCTAGCCTGTGCGCACCCCTCAGCCCCCCACCCTTTCCCCACACCTGAGGGAGAAGCCAGGCAGGAGGCGGGGTGGGGACGTCCCAGGACAGGTGCCCGGGCCAGGTTCACAGTTCTGTGTCCAGCTCTGTCGGCGGGGAAGGGAGGGGCTGGGCGCTCGAAGGCAGCTGCAGGGCCCAGGCCGCCGCCAGGAGGACCCGCACTGCTTACAAAGAGATGACTCGGCCCTGGGCGGGGTCCAAGGCGCCGACCACCTGCAGCTGGGCCCCGAATACCAGGTGGGCCGGGGCAGGCGCTCGGGCACAAGTTCCTGGGCAGGCACGGCAGCGGCACGGGGAAGGAGCGCGGTCACTCGTTCCCTCTGCTCCACCAGCAGGCGTGAGAGCGAGCCACGAACCCCGTCGCTGGTGCTGCTTGGGGATCCCGGGAACCCCCAGCCGGGACCTTCGGACTTCCCGGAGAGGTCCCCATCCCGGGACCCCGTCAGTGACGTCCAAACAGCCGGCCCTCGCTCCCGGGCGTACCCCGGGCGGAAGGCTCCATACGGGGAGAGGAGCCGGGGCACGCGTGGGGACCGGGCGCAGAAGAGTGGCGCAGGGCAGACGCAGACCCCGGACTGGAGGCGGGCGGCGCCCCACTCACCCGAGATCTCCGCCTGGGGCACGTCGCTCAGGCTGAAGCCCTTGGCGCCGTAGATCTGGCGGACCTCGCTGCAGCTCCGGCTCTTGCTGGCAGCGTCCCCGCGGGCGCAGGCGGCGAGCGCGGCGGCCGCGCACAGCAGCCACCAGCCGTGGGCCCGGAGCTCCATGGCGGCCCGCG